GCATCTGACACTGCACAACTACTTATTTTTTTAAGAGGAGTTGATGACAACATGAACGTGACAGAGGAGCTGCTTGACCTCAAAAGCCTTAAAGGGCAAACCAGAGGAACAGATTTATTCGTTTCTGTTTGTGAAGCTGTTGATAATATGAAACTACCATGGAGTAAAGTTTCTGGGATCATTACCGATGGTGCGCCTGCCATGGCTGGTGAGCGAAGTGGATTGTCCACACTGATCTGAAATAAAGTCAGCAAAGAAGCAGGTAACGCTATTAAACTTCACTGTATCATTCACCAGCAGGCTCTCTGCGCCAAACATCTCAAATTTGACGATGTTATGAAACCAGTGGCAAAGGCAATCAATTATATTCGCTCTAAAGCTCTATACCACTGACAGTTTCAGCAGTTTTTGCGTGACATCCAGGCTGAATACGGTGACGTAATATATCACAACGATGTGAGGTGCCTAAGTCGGGGGTCCGCACTGCATCGATTTTTCTCTCTCAAAGAGGAAATTTGACATTTTTTGGGTGAGAAGGGACAACCAATGGAAGAACTGTCCAATCCTGTATGGCTGGCAAATCTGGCTATTTTGGTTGACATAACGAAGCATCTGAATGCGCTGAATGTTAATCTTCAAGGAAAAGATGCAGTGGTGAGCCAGCAATACACTCACATTAAGGCCTTTGGAACCAAACTGCAACTTTTCCAAAGACACTTGTCCCAAACAGAGCCCTGCACCGCACACTTCCCAGCTTTGAAAGAGGTCATTGACAGTTTCCCACAGGACAACATCGGTGCGCAAATGAAGAGTTATGCAACAGCTATCGCATCTCTTTCTGTGGAATTTAACAAACGCTTTCGGGACTTTGCAGTTGTTGAAAAGGACATGTTGCTTTTCTCTTCTCCGTGGACCCTGATGATGCTCCTAAACAGCTGCAGCTGGAGCTCATTGAGCTGCAGTGTGACGATGAGTGCCGCGGAAAACACCAGCAGTGTTCTTTTGTTGACTTTTACCGGCAGCTGGACAAAAGCAGGTTTCCATAAATGCGGTCATTCGCTAAGAACATGCTGAGCTTATTCGGCTCCACATATTTGTGTGAGCAAACATTCTCAGTCATGAACTTAAACAAGAACCGATTGAGGTCAAGGATGAGTGACTCCCACTTGCGTGACATTTTACGCATCTCAACCACTGCCCTCAAGCCAGACCTGGTCTCTTTACTGAAATCTAGATCTCAGTATCACCCTTCTCATTAGTGTCAGCAAGTTATCTGTTCCTTGATCAATCTGAAATTGAGTGTTTTGAACGGTAACATCTGTCACTATTAACAGTGAAAAGCCTAAAACACACTAATGCACATGGACGTATGGCACTTGTTTTATTAAACTCTTGAATAAGATTTGGTTATAACTGTTGATGTCATGTACCTGTAGATGTGACACAAACTATTGCTTTCTGAAAGATCTTGTAAAAGACAAGGGCAAAATTCACTTGTTTTAAAGTTTAATGATAACAGACCACTTTGCATAACTCATTGAAATTTAAGGTATTCTATACAGTTTGTTCAATGTTATCTGACTGAATGAAAGGCAGAATTGTGTTTTTAGAGTTGTTCACGTCTGCCTGAGTGGCTTATATTTGGTTACATTGTCATTTGAAAAATAAAGGTAATTGTGACAAGAACATTTTTTTTATAACAGTGTGTATTTTCACGTAACTTTTGTGGTTAAAAAAATGTCAGAAGGAACTATTGGCCCCGGGCATCTGGGGGAAGGGAAATCCCTCAGTCAGGAAAACATCGTGGCACAAAGTGGGGATGACCCTGCTGAGGCTGCGGTGCCTCAAACATTGGAAGAAGTCACCCCCTGTAAGTGGCTGGCTGAGGTGCCATCTGTTGAGGAAGTACAGAAGTACTGAAGGCAAGACCAGGAAAGGCACCGGGCAGAGATGACCTCCCAAGCGAAATGCTGAGGGAGGGTGGCGTTTGTGCACAGACTGCCCTATATGACATCATAACAACAGTCTGGACCACTGGACGGGTTCCACAGGATTGGAAGGCCCTCGTGGTCCCCCTCTTTAAGAAGGGGGACCGCACAGACTGTAACAACTACAGGAGCATCTCACTCCTCAGTGTGCCGGGAACGGTCCTGGCAAGGATTATTCAACATCGCCTTGCTAGGCACGCTGAGGAGAGGCTTGTGGAGCCCCAATGCGGTTTCAGGAAGGGGCGGTCCTGCAGAGATGCCATATTTTCTGTCCGTCTGCTACAGCAGAGGTGTACGGAATTCCAACAAGACCTACATCTCTGCTTTATTGACCTGGTCAAGGCCTATGATACCATCAGTAGGCCTGGGCTCTGGGCTGTTCTTCGTGCTTTCGGAGTCCCTGACCCTCTGCTCACGATCGTTAAGGACCTTCATGATGGTGAGCGGGCCCGGGTAAAACTACGTGGCCGGGAGTCGGAGCCATTCCCTGTACACCTTGGGGTGTGACAGGGATGTCCTCTGGCTCCCACATTATTTAACATCTATTTTGACCACGTAGTTCGTGAAGTCTTCAATAGCTGTACCGGGAGAATTTCCATTTGGTACAGATATAATGGGAGGCTAATCGATGCCCAACCACGTTATGTATTCCGATTATTTGGTAATAGCTGCTCATTCAGATGAAGAGTTGGAGACGCTGCTGCTGAGACTGGAGCGTGCCACTAAGAGGTGGGGCTTACTATCAGCCCCACCAAAACTAAGCACCTGCCTTGGTATTTTGTACCATCGGACACTCCACCCCTACAACTCCCAATCGGTGATGGGGCAGTTGTGGAGAGAGTGGAGAGTTTCCCATACCTGGGCAGTGTGCTTATGACCAGCTCCAGTTTAACTGCAGAGGTCTCCGAATCAATCGAGCGGCAATATCTTTTCATCGGTTGCGTAACGCTGTGTGGAAGCTACCTGGTCTGTCGCTCCGCACAAAGCTTCAGGTCTTCTCGGCCACAGTCATTCCCTCCCTTCTCTACGCTTGCGAAACGTGGACCCCCCTAATGGAGCATCTGCGCCGGTTAGAGACATTTAGGCTGGCCTGCCTACGATCCATCCTGGGTTTAACCAGGCTGGATTGTGTGAGGAGCTCAGAAATCCTTGAAAGATCTGGGCAAAGTCCCATTGGTGAGCTCCTCCGACAGGTAAGGTTGCGTTGGCTGAGTCATGTAGCCCGCATGCCCAGCCACCGCATGCCTAAACAGCTATTGTTCGGCCGGATCGAGGGGGCTAAACGGGCGCGGCACGGGCTAGAGAAGAGATGGAGTGATGTGGCACAGCAGGACGTGGATCTGAGTGGACTTGCCGATGACTGGTACCAGCGGTGTCAATATCGGCCTCTGTGGAGGAAGCTCGTGAAGGACACTACCGGGCAGTTGGAGGCAGTCGCCCTCCAACAACAACAGAGGACGGAGGAGCGACGCTCACAACAACGAGCGGAGCGCCGGGTGGCTAAAGCACAGCAAGTTGGCACAGTAGGGGGCACAGGTGGTGCATCAGCCAGTCATCTCGGTCATCTCAGTCAGTCGACCCGTGGCATCTGGGTCTGCCCCGTGACCTCCTGCCAGCGGGTGTTCGACACTTCACGTGGCCTCAAGGTGCACATGGCCTGGCACAAGCGTCGTGGTGATTTCACCGCCACTTAGTGGCGAATGGCGGTTGTTGTTGTTGTTGTTGTGTGTCTATCTGTGTGTGTATCTGTGTGTGTGTCTATCCGTGTGTGTTTCTATCAGTGTGTGTGTCTATCAGTGTGTGTGTCTATCTGTGTGTGTGTCTATCTGCGTGTGTCTATCTGTGTGTGTGCGAGTTTGTGGCGTCCTGGTATTTAGATAAGGATGTGTACGTGTATGTATGTGTGTATGTATGTGTATGTATGTGTGTCCGTGTGTCTATAATGCACATAGCGCCTATACGTGTGGGAGAGTGGTGGCGCAGTGGTTAATGCGCTGCGCTATCAACCCGGCCATCCGAGTTCGATTCCCGCTCACGGCAAACCCCGGCGAGGATAATTATCTGAACCCTTCTCCCCTAGGTCGATTCGGCCTCGATGCGTAAACTTCGCCAAGAGGGAGACAAAGGCGGCCAGGCATGGTGCTGGCCACCCACCACCTCGTGTGCCGTGCCTGCCTTCATAGGTGCTGGCTAACAGCACTTGCCCCAACAGTCTGTTAGAGGCTACACGGGGGTCTTTGTCCTTGGGGAGCAGTGGCGCAGTGGTTAGCGCAATGCCGCTATACGAACCCTGCGATGCGAGAGTTTGATGTCGGCTGACGGCGAACAACCTCCATGACAAGACACCTGAACCCGAGCCTGGCCTTCGACGAGGTCAACTCAGCCTTTACATGAGCGATGACAAAGGCGTCAGGACCCAATCCGAACCACACCACAGAGTTTGTGCGCCCTGTCTTTTTTTACGCAGCTCTTTCACGACAAATAAAATGTAGGTTTGATGCCATTTTTGTCTCATCATCATTATTATAATAGCCGTTCACCGCCCTGCAGAACCAATCAACTCAAGTTGTCACGTGGGGCCAAATGTGCCAATTGATTAGGCTTATCAGCAATACAGGAATGTTGAAAAGCGAGCATTTTTCACATTGTTATAATATCTGAACAGGTGCTGGGCCTCTCCAAGGTCGACTCAGCTTTAGATGGGTTTCCCGAGTGCGGTAGCTAAGCATCGGTATTAGGGAGACAAAGGCGGCAAGGGGCGCGGTTCGAACCGTAACCCCGCCACCCCCTGGCGTAGTCGGGGTGCTCGCTGACTACAGCAGCAGCAGCACTTTGCCCCAACAGCCTCCAGGGCTACGCGGTGCATCTTTGCCTTTGTGTGCATGCCCCCTGCCCCTCTCCGTGTGCACGGGGCTCGCATCGTCTCCTCCTCCTCCTCCCCCGCCCCGCGGGGTTCGCGCTTTGCCGCCTCCTCCCGCCGCTGCCGCCGCCGCTGCTCAGTCCCCGCAGCGCCTCCCCGCTCGCTGCTCCTCCGTGTCCACTCCGTGTCCTCTAAGAATCGCGCGCCTTGTGCGAGACATCACCGGACCAGGCTTTTCGGCTACCCAAGGAACCGCATTAAACACCGGGGGGGGGGGGGAGCTGACGACTCCTTTAGTCGCTGTGGCTGGCCAGAATAGAAGGGTCACCGTCCATAGGAGAGACACACAGAGAGAGGGCGACTGGCGCCCAGAGTTTCTGAACGAGCCGGAGCGCGAGGCGAAGAGGAGCGGAGACGACTCCCGAACCGCGCTGGTCGCTGCTGCCCCAGCGGCGAGAAAGTTACTGCGCCCGACAAACAAGAGCAGCCCTGCTGCGGCTGCTGCTGCTGCCACGCAATGAACGCGGCTCCGCTGCTGGAGTCGCCGCTGCCAGAAGCGACGATGGAGCCGCGGCCATGCGGCCCGTAGCGGCCACCCCGGGTCACCTGGCGCCCAGGTGAGAGGCAGAGACGGCGAGAGGTGACGGCGGCCCCGGGGACCCCGAGGCACCAACAACACGGAGAGAGGGAGGGCACGCGTCGAGTAGACCTCGCTATTCTTGTGCACGATAGCAGCTGTCCAGGAGAAACAACAACCACAATGTCGAGGTCTGCTGCTGGCCACGACGAGAGGGCTCCATGAGAGAGAGAGAGGCAGCGAGTTGGTGTCGTTTTGCGCAGACTCCAGTGGCCAACTTGTACGGTCCACAGTTGGGGTTGCAACAGTCAACTGCGCAGCACGCTCGCTGGTCTTTAATGTCTCTCTATGGGTCTCTGTGGGTCTCGATTACTGTATTGTCCATAGTTTGGATTGTATGGTCACAATCGCACGACTGAGCTTTTGCGTCTTTAAAGTGTCTTGAATCCCCTCCCATGTATGAAGGAGATGTGCGAATCGGCCTCTTGATTCTCTGATGTGTACACCATAGAGCACACGCAATACACACACACAGTACACACACAGTACACACTACGCACACAGTACACACCACACACACAGTACACACTACAAACACAGTACACACCACACACACAGTACACACAGTACACACCACACACAGTACACACCACATACACAGTACACACAACACACAGTACACACCACACACACACAGTACACACCACACACAGTACACACTACACACACAGTACACACACAGTACACACCACACCCACAGTACACACTATACACACAGTACACACCACACACACACAGTAAACACACACAGTGCACACCACACACAGTACATACCACACTCACAGTACACACCACACAAACACAGTACACACACACAGTACACACCACACACACACAGTAAACACACAGTGCACACCACACACAGTACATACCACACTCACAGTACACACCACACAAACACAGTACACACACAGTACACACCACACACACAGTACACACTACACAAACAGTACACACACAGTACACACCACACACACAGTACACACTATATACACAGTAAACACTACACACACAGTGCACACTACACACAGTACACACTACACACACAGTACACACCACACACACAGTACACACTAACACACAGTACACACCACACACACAGTACACACCACACACACAGTACACACCACACACGGTACACACCACACACACAGTACACACCACACACACAGTACACACTACACACAGTACACACTACACACACAGTACACCACGCACACAGTACACACTACACACACAGTACACACTACACACACACTGTACACACTACACATACAGTACACCCCACACAAACTGTACACACTACACACGCATTACACACCACACACACAGTACACACCACACACACACCACACACACAGAACACACTACACACACAGTACACACCGCACACACAGTACACGCCACACACACAGTACACACCACACACTACACACACAGTACACACTAAACACACAGTACACACTACACACACAGTACACACTACACACACACTGTACACACTACACACACAGTACACACCACACACACTGTACACACTACACACACAGTACACACCACACACACAGTACACACCACACACACAGTACACACTACACACACACGGTACACACTACACACACAGTACACACTACACACACAGTACACCACACACAGTACACAATAAACACACAGTACACACTACACACACACTGTACACACTACACACACAGTACACACCACACACTGTACACACTACACACACAGTACACACCACACACACGCACAGTACACACCACACACACAGTACACAACACACAGTACACACACAGTACACGCCACACACACAGTACACACCACACACAGTACACACCACACACAGTACACACTACACACACAGTACACACCACACACACTGTACACACTACACACACAGTACACACCACACACACAGTACACACCACACACACAGTACACACTACACACACACAGTACACACTACACACACAGTACACACTACACACACAGTACACACCACACACTGTACACACTACACACACAGTACACACCACACACACGCACAGTACACACCACACACACAGTACACAACACACAGTACACACACAGTACACGCCACACACACAGTACACACCACACACAGTACACACTACACACACACAGTACACACTACACACACAGTACACACCACACACACTGTACACACTACACACACAGTACACACCACACACACAGTACACACCACACACACAGTACACACTACACACACACAGTACACACTACACACACACAGTACACACTACACACACAGTACACACCACACACTGTACACACTACACACACAGTACACACCACACACACGCACAGTACACACCACACACACAGTACACAACACACAGTACACACACAGTACACGCCACACACACAGTACACACCACACACAGTACACACTACACACACACAGTACACACTACACACACAGTACACACCACACACACTGTACACACTACACACACACTACAAACCACACACACAGTACACACCACACACACAGTACACACACAGTACACACCACACACACAGTACACACTACACACACAGTACGCACCACACACACAGTACGCACTACACAAACAGTACACACACAGTACACACCACACACACAGTACACACTACACACACAGTACACACCACACACAGTACACACCACAGACACACTACACATCACACACACAGTACAAACCACACACACAGTACACAACACACACACAGTACACACCACACACGGTACACACCACACACACAGTACACACCACACACGGTACACACCACACACACAGTACACACCACACACACAGTACAAACCACACACACAGTACACACTACACACAGTACACACTACACACACAGTACACCACGCACACAGTACACACTACACACACAGTACACACTACACACACACTGTACACACTACACACAGTACACACCACACAAACTGTACACACTACACACACAGTACACACCACACACACAGTACACACCACACACACACTACACACCACACACACAGTACACACTACACACACAGTACACACCGCACACACAGTACACGCCACACACACAGTACACACCACACACAGTACACACCACACACACAGTACACACTACACACACAGTACACACCACACACTGTACACACTACACACACAGTACACACCACACACACGCACAGTACACACCACACACACAGTACACAACACACAGTACACACACAGTACACGCCACACACACAGTACACACCACACACAGTACACACTACACACACACAGTACACACTACACACACAGTACACACCACACACACTGTACACACTACACACACACTACAAACCACACACACAGTACACACCACACACACAGTACACACACAGTACACACCACACACACAGTACACACTACACACACAGTACGCACCACACACACAGTACGCACTACACAAACAGTACACACACAGTACACACCACACACACAGTACACACTACACACACAGTACACACCACACACAGTACACACCACAGACACACTACACATCACACACACAGTACAAACCACACACACAGTACACACCACACACACAGTACACACCACACACGGTACACACCACACACACAGTACACACCACACACGGTACACACCACACACACAGTACACACCACACACACAGTACAAACCACACACACAGTACACACTACACACAGTACACACTACACACACAGTACACCACGCACACAGTACACACTACACACACAGTACACACTACACACACACTGTACACACTACACACAGTACACACCACACAAACTGTACACACTACACACACAGTACACACCACACACACAGTACACACCACACACACACTACACACCACACACACAGTACACACTACACACACAGTACACACCGCACACACAGTACACGCCACACACACAGTACACACCACACACAGTACACACCACACACACAGTACACACTACACACACAGTACACACCACACACACAGTACACACTACACACACGCAGTATACACCACACACACAGTACACACTACACACAAAGTACACACCACACACACAGTACGCACCACACACACAGTACGCACTACACAAACAGTACACACACAGTACACACCACACACACAGTACACACTATATACACAGTAAACACTACACACACAGTGCACACTACACACAGTACACACTACACACACAGTACACACCACACACACAGTACACACTAACACACAGTACACTACACACAGTACACACCACACACACAGTACACACCTCACACGGTACACACCACACACACAGTACACACCACACACACAGTACAAACCACACACACAGTACACACTACACGCAGTACACACTACACACACAGTACACCACGCACACAGTACACACTACATACACAGTACACACTACACACACACTGTACACACTACACACAGTACACACCACACAAACTGTACACACTACACACACAGTACACACTACACACACAGTACACACCGCACACACAGTACACACCGCACACACAGTACACGCCACACACACAGTACACACCACACACAGTACACACCACACACACAGTACACACTACACACACAGTACACACCACACACACAGTACACACTACACACACGCAGTACACACTACACACAGTACACACTACACACAGTACACACTAAACACACAGTACACACTACACACACAGTACACACTACACACACACTGTACACACTACACACACAGTACACACCACACACACTGTACACACTACACACACAGTACACACCACACACACAGTACACACCACACACACAGTACACACTACACACACACAGTACACACTACACACACAGTACACCACACACAGTACACACTAAACACACAGTACACACTACACACACGCTGTACACACT